AGTTACTTCGGCCCTCGCAGCTCTGCAGCAGACGACAGAGGACCGCCCCAGACCACCGCTGCAATGCAGCGACGCATAAATTAAGACAATATTCCCAAATAAGGTTATCGCTTAATAGTAAGTGTTTTTCCCACACTGGCGGGAGGCCTGAATCCTTCATTTCAGAAACTACGCTGTTTGCTGCACGGGGTCAGGCTCGAGTATTCATGCATCCAGCACTGCTTAAGCTGATCAGCTGTCCAGCGTTCATCTACGACAATCTCCCCCTAAAACCGAGACTTGTAGCAGTAATTAGAGGAAAGCATTACCCTGCTACAGTACTGCACGCGCTCTCATACATACTGCTCTACGGCTCTCACCTACATTGTATGACGAGCTGTCAGAAACCAAACCCATGTACCCCATGTACCCCGTATTCCTTTCCTTTGTCTTTTTTATACTTTAAAAGGAGTAACCTGGTTGAAATTTGACGAAACTGGATCTTGTGAGGTTCCTGTTCTTCCAATCAATGTTTCTGTGTACTACTCCAAACCAGTATGCATAACGGACGCGAACGGGGGCCCAACACGAACTTGGCGTGCGAATATCCAACTGGAGCTCATATGTACAGTTTTGCTTGAAAAATCAATTGAAGTCACTAAGGCTGCACAGCCCTGCTTAGAAAGTCGGTAAGAGCCACGAATACTGCCAGGAAGTCTCGGGGGAAGACAAATTAAAGGAAATATAAAAATGCAAACGCAAAAAGTTGGCGTGGCTGTACAAGTGAAGGAATCAAATCAGAGAACAAATGCAGCAATTCATCCAGACGTAAACAAATTGTCTCTGTAGCCATCACGAGAGCCGTGCTCTCCTCCTTCCTATGGGGAGTCCATGGGCGCAGTGAACACTCAAAAAGGAGGCGCTACGGGTCCTATCTCAACACAGTGAGAATGTATGCAAGCCCCAGGCGCCAGGCTTTTCTAAGCAGCGAGAACATGTGGAATATGCGGCAATTCCTCAGAGTCTTCTAAGCAAAACTGA